AAGTGAATCATACGCCAATAAAAGTAAAAGAAAAAGTTGAAGAACATGTATTTAATATTTTCTGTTTTCTTTATTTGTGTTTTTTTAATCATGTAATTTTCTAGAAAGATGATGAAATTTGTCCAGTAATATTTAAAACGGAATATCGAACAGTATTAACTTCTTATTGTCATGTAATCAAACATTTCCCATATGAAATCTTACTTTTTTCTTTTCCTCCTTAGTAGTAATACTAACGATTAAATATATTTAGTCAGAAAACGTTAAAGAATATCATCTTTTGCTTGAATTATCTTCGAGTGAGTTCAATCGACTTAAACAATTTACTTTTACGTCACGTTATGAATAAGTTTGATTTTATTACTTTATTATTTTAAATAATATAATAGATATTTTAAGAAAGATGTTCTTCATGAAGTTCATGTTATCTCTGATCTTCTCAAACGTATTGTATATAAAATAAAAGAAGATGAACCAATTACTTAGTAATTTAACATGGTCAATATGATTATGACCATTTGATATCAATGTCATCATTGAAGTAAGTATATTAATCAAGTATTCGAAAGTTAATCATAATATTCTTGCTAATTTAAATTTAAGATTCAAAATTTTCATACTTTGAATTTAGTGTAGGAATGTGCAGTTTTGATGTGAATAATGACAAGTGAGCCACTAACTCTATCAAAATATGTTGTTTTTGTAGCGGTGTGTTTCAATACTTTAGTGAACATCGATGCTAGTGTGCACTAATCACATTGAACCGGTGACATAGGTAGTAAGTAAAATCAAACTGCACATCTGTAATTATATGTTATCTAGTAGTAGCACTTTATTCACGGGTAAATCTATAAATTTCGAAGCAACATATTACTTGTGAATAGAGATGAAATGTGATGGGCTGAATCATCGTTGTCAAGTCTCTAGAATTCAAGCAGTGACATAGAAATATATGCTTTATTTATTTAAAGCTAATGGCGCAATCAAGGGAACTGAGTTTTCTTCCCTCGCTTAAGAATTATTAAAATTATGGTTACGCTACTATTTGAAATAAAGATCTGAATTTAGTTGCACTCACACTAAACGATTCGGCTCGTCAAGTTCATAAATTTCTTGTTTTGTTACATGAAATCAATTACATAATTATTCAATAATTGTCTTCGAGAGTTTTTTAGTTTTAATTATAATTGGAGCAATAAGTTTTATTAGTATTCGTGTTCATCTTTGTCGTGGTCGATGGTTTACAACTTTCTTTATAATCGCGTTTATTATTTCTGTTATTCACAATTGATATACACTTTATCAGGTGGTATATTTATTAATTTGAATCGTATAAAACTAAAATAGATTTATTCTATAGGAAGCACAAGCAAAAATCGATGAAGTTCTTATTAAAAAAAATCCCAAAACATTGTCAAGATCATTCAATCGACGTATGGGACTTTTTTTAAAGCTAATTTTGGTCGTTTCTTTCAATTATCAACTAATGAATGTTTGGAATATTATAAAGAATTACGTGCTATACATTATTCATAAGTTACACCAGTTTTTGCTGATACTATGCATAGTGTACCTATTTTTTTATGACCAATTATTATTCTTTTAATTTTATTTATTATTATTGTTCTTATTTCTAATGTATTCACGATATGAAGTAAATTTACCTTTTATGATGGGTTCACTTCAACCATCTGCTCATGTTCCTATTACAATAATAATAGCAAATGATGTAGAACAAATAACGTGTGGCGCAGAATAAATGGTATGTACATGATTTGCGCTGTAACTTTGTCATTTATTTTTTATTCGAGACTCAATTTTTTTCTTAAAAGATTCACTATAAAATTCTCTATAATAATGTGTACTCTGTCTTGTTTCATGTATTTTTGGTTTATTTCTCGAAATTATAAGATGTGCATAATACAACAATTAAATAATAAAAACACATAAAAATGATGCAGTTTAATAATAAATTAACATATAATATGTTAAAAATTTTAGTCTTGAAGAGTACAGTTATCATCAGCAACAAGGCATCATTTGTGACCAAGAGTCTACTTTTATTTCGAAACTAACATTAACAAACAACAAAATGTAAATATATCAAAAGAAAACTAGAAAAAAAAACAAAATCATATGTTTTGTCAAACTATATTGATATATATATATATGTATCTATGACTATAAAGGTGTAGGTGTAAGTGTAGATATCATTTTCTTCTTCACGTTTAATCCCATACCCACACCATAAATAAACATAACATGATAGCTTTATTTATGGAGTGAGAATATAAATCAGAATAAATAATAAAAGTGCAAGAAAACGAGTAGGAGTAAGCAGGATTATGTAGTACATATCTGAAGGAAAAATCATGTTGTTGCACAGTTGATTGTCTCTTCATCAGTTTCTACTTTTATTGAAACAAGCTACAGTGTAATTTTAACTAACGATCATTTCTTCATCTACTTTCATGCAGATTCTATCGTGAAAAGAAATATTCATATCGATTTTACAATTCATGATTTTTTCGGATAATATTCTTACCAATTTTCATGATTTCAGGATACATATCGCTGAATATGATCAACAGACAAAAAAAGAAAAATCATTATAAAATTTTATTAAAAATAAAACGAATATGAATTTTTTTAATTAATACATAAATCAATTAATGAATTGACAGTTGAAGAATCTTCATGCATTTCAATTGATCCTAACTGATGACTTGAATAAGTATTGAACTATGAGTGAACTTGTGACTTTGATTTCAAAAGAATTCACTTACGAGAAATTATATTCACATTAGTTTTAAGTAAGAGCGAAAAAGACATTTGTGTTTGATATTCAAGCCTACTAAAGTTTATCAGTAAAGTTAACTTGTGATAACAAATATTGATTTTTTCGTTTTTTATTTCAAAATGATTATTGTATAAAACTATTTCTTTTGTGTTGATACTAAAAAGGAAATTTCTAAACTTTGATCGAAATCAAAATGCAAAAATTCGAATGTTAAACACAAGAAACATTGAAAGATATTTCGTACAAAAAAAAAGTAATGGATGAAGACATCATTAGCAAATGCTAAGTAGGGGTGTTCGTGCTTGGGCATTTCTTCGTTTCATATACATCCATGTTCGATCCTCACCTACATATAGATCCACACCTTTTTCTAATTGATTTGTCTCTAATTATCCCAAAAAAATGATGATCTAGCAAGAAATTTCATAAACGTTGATCTATTTATTTATCGAGAACTTTTTATTTATCTCTCATTGTTGTTTTTCTAATAGAAATTTGATTTAATTTCAGTTACTCATCGTTTTAGATACTTAATAAAAAAAAACACTTGAGTCTGTCGACATTTCTATCTTTGACCAAAGTTGAAATTACTCTAAGAAAGTTCGATATTTATTGTCATGATCTCATATTTTCCTCTTGCAATCAAAAAGAAATAGTTAAATAAAAATTATAGAAAAAAAAACCTATGACAATTCATTTGAATAATCAAATACTTAATTTTGTTATAATAAAGATCAAATCAAATGAATCATTTATGATAATATTTGAGGAAAAATTTTTGCATACTGACTATTTCGATTGTTTCATAAGGGTAAAGAAGATTCACTTGAAACAATTATTGAAAATGATTCAATTAGAGAGAAAAAAAATATTTTAATGTGAGTTTGCTTTTTGTTCTATTATTTTAATTACCAAATAAATTTATCATTGGTTATTTATAAGATAGGTACTCAAATTAGAAGGTTTTGAATTAGTGTTTCGTTTATTTAAAATAGCTTCTTAATAATGTTAATTATGTTAGAACACGTGCAAAACATTTATATAAGGATGAAAGATGAGCAAAACATCAAACAATAAGAAAACTATGATCGATACAAATTTTATTCTTCAATATTGTTTACTTGATGAAATAATTAATTTAAAATATTTTTATTTTTATATTCGTTTGAATCATCAATTATTATTAAATGATATAGAAATAATAATAATGTCTTCTTAATTCGATCCCTTTTAATTTCACATCAATAGATAAAAAACATTATTTGAATTCATCAATTTATTCATTTCTTGAATTTATTATTGGATAGCTTTCGTTGTTGCTCTAATAGCCTATATTTCATTGACTTGTTCATTAGGCTCTTCATAATTCATGCATTGACTTTTATTGAATCCTGTGGCGAAAGCGCACCCAACTCATAATTGGATGATTGATGATGTGGTTTCGTTAATAAATCATGCTTTCTTTTCAGTTTTGATCGTCATAATCGAATACGGTCGAATCATGAATTACTCTTCCTGTATTAATCTTTCAAATTCATCTAGGAATCATGCTCAAGTTTTTTCGTAAAGATATCAATTGAAAAAGACTAACGAAATATCTTCGCTTCATACTCAATCGAGAAGGTGATGACATGAGTTACTTTGTTCCTTTTTTAGTCAACACTGCCTCAGATAGAGGAAGAAGAAAAAGCATAAGTGTATCTTGCAACACTGGACAACATTTTTTGTACGATTCTCTTTTAAATATACTTTTCTCACAAAGTTGACTGTTAAGATACAGTTTGGATTAAAATTATACTTGATATTATGTAATGTTCATAGAAAACTTTATCCATAAGTTTTAAATCATCATGAAGCAGGACTTATAGCATGATGAAGGAATCATTTTTTGTTAGACAAAACTCTTTGAACAATCTTTTCAATGGAGTTTTTTTTTCTTCAAAAGTCTTTGAAGTAAAATACTTATTTTGCGACAGACAACTGGCAATGTTCATGCGGAAGTAGGGGTACAAGTGTGTTAACCTTATCAGTATCTCTTAACACCTACATCACACTCATCCAGACCAACACCTCAGAGATGATTTTTATGAGACGTAGAAATCTTTCAAAATAGCGAACAGTTCGATGGCAAAAGCTAAATGAATGTATCGTAATTAAAGCATATATTTTGAATGATATAGATATTGATAAAGCCAATATTTTAATTCATATCATTTGGATCAACGCCAAGTTTCTTCGCTCGTAATCGTGCTGCTTCAGTTTTTGACTTGTTGATCGGAATGAAAAGGATAGAGATAATTTCAATGGCTGCAGGATTGGTCAGACGCCATTCGATAGCGTCTATATTATCGTCGGGATGAGGTTGATAGCCTTTGACTGTACATGGAAAGGTATCATAGGAACCGCTCTTGACACTGCATTCCAGTACAGCAATGAGACACTCATCATTATGGGAGAATGTCACAGCGTAACACGGATCGGAACAGTAATAAATACTCGGACTTATGAAAATACCGTTAGCAAAATCTTTGATACCATATGCATCTTCGCCTCGGGGAATATGATGAGCAGGTGGACAAACACGTATTCCACTGGAGACTACCGTACTTGGCATCACCAATCCATCCATAAGAATCGAACGAATGACACCAATTGTTGTTCCATGATAAGCAATGTGCGGAAAGACATTCTTGTTGTGCTCACAAATTTTTAAACATTGACAAGCGATCGGATTTTGACGTGGTCTCAATGGTTTATCAAATGCACCCTGAAGAAACATGTCACCTGGCAGGCTGAGTAAATGGGGGATAATATCTACATGTCTTATAAACGCATGTATACTGCCAATTGAAGGTAAAAGTGTTTCTTTGCTATTAGAAGTAAACCAATAGGGTGAACACTCTGCCCAAGTATATAGTCGAGCCTTGGGTTCATTAATTAAGGATACCTTGGGCATTTCATTAAATTGAATTTTTTGTTGATTACATTGGGTTTTGAAAAGATAGAGACATCCTGGCAAGTCAAATGATTGCATGTCCGGTGAATATATATAACTTATATTGATGGTTAAATCCGTCTGTACACATTCTAGTGGAAACTTAAATAATAAACTATTCAAAATAATTTTTTGTGACTTAGGTTGATGAGCTTTAACTGTAAATGTTGCCATTTGACATTTTTGTGAAAACCTATTGTGAAACTCACGTAAACTACAGAAGGGAAGTTCTGGACTCATGGTATAACCACTGTGTATATATCGCGGTGATTCATGAACCGTAATACAGAGTGGCAAATCGATGAATTTCGTTTTTCCACATCGAGCACGACACACAGCTGAAACTACTTGAATATCATCACTTTCATTATTTAATGGACGTCGAGCCATGGAGAAATCTGAATATTTTTTGCGTAATTTTTCAGGCATAGATTGTCGAAGTTCATGAAAATTAGCGTTACAGTGTATTTGAACTTTGGCTAATGGTTCATTGCCGGATTTGGCACCATCTCCAAAGAGATGTACAGAAATCCATCTATTCTCTGTCAAATTTTGTTGATGTTCTCGTAAGACTTTTTTCACTTCATCCAATCGAGCATCGTCAAAGACCGTAGAACCATATTTATTGCGAATATTCACATTGGCACCATGATTCAGTAGCAATTCGACAGTCGATACATAACCATGATAGGCTGCACCATGCAAAGGTGTGCTTGTCGACTCGTCTTGATTTTGAAGATTGACATCTGCGCCCTTTTTTATAAGCCATTCGGCCAAGGATTTTCGACCATTGCGACAGGCAATATAGAGCAAACTGACGCCAGTGTCATTCAAGGCATTGGGTGAATTAGTATCAAAATGATATCGAAACCACCAATCGACACCATCTGCCGCCATTTTAAACATATCTTGCTCACGCATTGATTGAAAGATGTTTTTCATCAATTGTCCGTGCATTAAACCTTCTTGTTCAGCGGTCATACTCCATTTATTGATAAGTAGTGTATTGGCACCATGTGCGAGAAGATATTTGACGATCGAATGATGCCCTGCGTATGCCGCCAGATGTAAAGCGGAATTCAAATTGATATCAACAATATCCAGATTGGCAGAGCGTTCTTTTATCAGCCATCGAACAAGATGTTTATGACCTTTTTTACTTGCACAATGCAATAGGGTCTGACGTAGAGTATGGTATTGATAATCAACATGCTCTGAAATATGTTTGATGTTATTCTTGAACCAGTCGAGTTGATTTGCTGCGGCTTGTACGTATGGATTCTGTTTTAGTTCGGCAAAACAACGTCTAACATCGTCATTATACGATTCTGTTTCAGCGAGATTATTGTATGCATTTTGCTGGCAATAGTTGGCTCCACTTTCCAGTAAACATCGGACTACTTCTGGATGTCCATAGAAAGCAGCAACATGGAGCGCAGTACTGCCAAATCGTTGTTTGAGATCCGGTTCTGCACCTTGCTCAGTTAAATAGGAGACCGCTTCCACATTGCCAGCACGCGCTGCACAATAGAGAGGCGTATGTCCGGTTTCGGGATCCTGAGCATTGATTTGCCTTAGTGTTGCATTTTGTAATCGTTTTTTCAATAAGTGAACCAAATCAGGTTCCGCCACTAATTGTTGCAATGTGTAATTTTCCACAGGCACATTCCATTTCCATTGTTTTGTTTTATCATAATGCTTTCGTGCGTTCTGATTGGACAATAATTCGTAAGCACGACATATGAGTCGAAATATGTCGGTGGTTATTGTTCGTTCTCCAACAGGTTTCAATCGATCGTTTTTGAATTCGAGAATACGTCTGCGATAGGCCTGACTTACTGCTGAATCGACGTCCGTCTTAGCCATGCCAAGAAGCTCATACGGTGTCAACTTCGGTATTGCCATATTGAATAGTTCCCCTTCTTTGATCTTCTGAATTCAACAGACTCGGTCAACACAACAAGTAGGAGTTGTTTAATTCTATCAAACACAATATCTAAAATGATAATTCATAAGTCACGATCGCCTGTTCAGTCGTCTAATACCAAAATTTCATAAGTATCGTAATACAGTATCATATCAACAATAGTATATTTATGCATCTATTATTCATGTTTTGTCACACTCTCATTTAACGACTCAGATATCTTATCTGAATCACAATGCTACTTTCTTTCAAAGACAAGCTAATGAATATTTGAGTACCAAGCCTGAATGAGGATCCAAAGTCAAATCAGTCCACCAGTAACTTTTTTTGATCAACTCTATTGAAACATATGTCCATGCCAAGAGCATAATGAGACTAACATTTTTGTAGTAGTAGTTTCATCAGGTTTTGATTCAGTTTTGAAACCTAAAAGCTGTCAATAAAGTAACACATTCTTACTTATTATTCTAATAATTCGTTCGATCACAATGAATTCAGATCTGTGAATAAGCAGACAAAACAAAATATTCACTAAAATTATAATTAAAAACCTTGCATATTTGTTAGCTCTCTGTAAAAACCAAAAAAATCATAAGTTGTTCAAAGTTAAATAGATCTATAGATAGTTACTTAAAAAGAATCTTAAGCATACAATTCTTTGTGGTAGAGTTTTGTGTCTTTTTTAATCAATATTCACAAGATTCTGATCAGAAACAATTTCATTTGAGTTAAAACTAGTATCATATTGAAAATCAACATAAAAACTCAGTTGGTTCATGTATGATTTAGAGAATTTTCAGAATGATGTTCTTTTTCATCGAAAAGTTTATCCCTCGTTTGTTCGGGAACCAGATGAACAATGAACTCATGAAAATCCCTACTTTCATTTTCTAGATATCTGCCAGTTTGTTATCTAATAACTTAAAGCAATTTTCAAGGTTTCGTTATAATGTTTAAATGGTGTTTTGATGCAAGACATTATTTGCCTGATTCCCAAAGGAACCCGAACTGAACTTTTTGATGAAAAAAAACACAATTCTGAAAATTCTCTAAATCATACATGAACCAACTGAGTGTTTATGCTGATTTTCAATGTTAAACTAGTTTTGACTCAAATGAAATTGTTTCTGATCAGAATCTTGTGAATATTGATTAAAAAAGGCATAAAACTCTACCACGAAGAATTGTATGCTTAAGATTTTTTTTTTATGTAACTAGATCTGTTTAACTTTGAACAACCTATGATTTTTTTGGTTTTTACAGAGAGCTAACAAATATGCAAGGTTTTTAATTATAATTTTAGTGATATTTTGTTTTGTCTGCTTATTCACAGATCTGAATTCATTGTGATCGAACGAATTATTAGAATAATAAGTAAGAATGTGTTACTTTATTGATAGCTTTTAGATTTCAAAACTGAATCAAAACCTGATGAAACTACTACTGCAAAAATGTTAGTCTCAATATGCTCTTGGCATGGATATATGTTTCAATAGAGTTGATCACAAAAAAGTTACTGATGGACTGATTTGACTCTTGGTACACCTTTATCCTTTCAGTTTGTAATTCTATCATATTTTCCAATAAACCTTTGTCAATACTACCACTACATAATTTTTCAATTTGTTATCATCTGTTTCCACTTGAATCAAACCGTGAAAACAATTTTTATCGTTCTTAAGGAGAAGTGTTTCGACAAATAATGAGTCAATAACGAAAATAGAAGAAAAAGCTAATTAAAACGATTCTGTTTCAAATATGAGTTTATCTATTCTCGATAAACTTAAATTCAAAATATTTTGTCAAACTCTCCACCAGTTTCAAATCATTCTTCAGTTATCGTCTGCACCAGTCGATATTTGAGGATCTTAGAGTGTGGGATATGAGTGTGGGTGTCATTGAAAAAATCATTCATACCCACACCTACATCCTGCAAGTTTTCCTTGATTGAAATTGGCCATGAATCTTTCATTTATTATCGAAAGAACAATAGTGACAATCTTTATAAATTTTAAATATCAAGTACCTAATTGATTATAGTTTTTATATTCCACTGAAATCACTCTAAAATATAAAATTTCATTTGGACACAAAAATAGATTTAATTCTTAATCAATGTATTGATTCTCATTAGGTTCTTCTTACCAAAAATGAAAATACTCGCAAATATTGCTCAAAAGTTTTTCACTATGAAATGACTTACCATCGGGAATAATGAGGCGATAAAAATGGATTATCAAATAATTTAATAAATCCTACCGGATAATACTCTGCACAATGGGATATCAAACAAATAAAATTACTGAACATACATTTTTTGTCTATACTATGTTGTGTTCGTATTGACTACATTGCCAGACACTAATTATTGTGTTTGCCAGTTGTTGTACACGGACCAATTCTATAAATAAAGTCTCGTATATGCAAATAATATCAAAAAAATTTGCAACATAATCTGAAGGATTAAAAATTTGATATACGATCAATCTATTTCATTCATTAAGAAAAACTCTATTCACAGGTATCATATTATCCATGACGTTTCGAAAAACTAACATATTGAAATATTTATTATGGTCTCTCACATTAAAAAACTTAACTCATTATATCTGTTCATTATTAAAAATCTGTGAGGGGCAGAGGCGGAGGAGGAAAGCGAAGATACTCAAACTTTCTCGCAATATACATCTGCGTTTATTTACAACCATGTGTAACAGAATCGAGCGGTTGTGCATATACATACTAATAGAGAAAATTACCCCACTGGGAGATTTTTTATTTGTACGTTGATAAGAACAGGTAAGAAAAAAAAATAGAAAAAAGAAACTGATCATGCATGTAAGCACTCATCCATATCACAGAACAAGCAGAAAAAAATGACAAAAAAGGCTTTAGTACGTCAGAAAGAGCAAAAATAAAATACAGGGAAAAACATGGGCAATCAAAGCAAATGAAGCGATGGTCTCTTCATCAACATGCTGCGTGTGAGTCATTCATAAACAGTGAAATCCTATTCATTCTCAAGCGGACCAAAATTCAATAAAAAATTAATAATAAAAAGCGAAAAAGTTGCGTCTCAAAAGTCAGTTGATCATTGACAATGAAATCGATTCAATTCGACGACTATTTTGTATCATTGAATATTTGATAGATATTCAACTTCTCTGTTTAGCAATATATCTTTTTTCTAAAAGCGATATTAAAGTGATTATTTAGATTATTAAAGAGTCGAATTCTATTTGAATTTCCATATTAGTTGTATTGCAAATAAACGATGTTTTTCAATTATCGTCATTATTTCTGATTGAATCGAAGTCATTTTTCCAGTTCAAGCATTACTTAAAAATAGCACTAAAATTATGAAAAGTATATTTGACAGCTTGAATAATGATACAAAACTACCTAATACATGTTCACTCGATGGAATTTTTTCTAAACACACATATATTTGATCACACAATAGCTACCGAAATGATTCTGTGAGCAAGTGTTCTGTTCTGTTTACATCTCATTCGTAAAATGAGCTAGAATGATCTAGTTTTCATCCTATAACCATTGATAGTCGTTAGTATGTTAACGGGAAAATTCAAGTCAATTCATTCATCCTCACGAATATTCAATGACTCAAACTTCTAAAAAGAGTCCGATAGTTTAAATATTAGAATGCTTCAAATAGATTATATAATCCTCATTAGAAGTCGTGATTTCCTGTTCATTTATTTCATATATATAGTTCCAAGAATTTAAATTATCGACAATTTATTTTTCGATTTAATAAATTTTCATAAACGTAAATTGATTATTTCTAATCTTCATCGAAAGTGACCTCAGGTTGCTCTTGATATTGACCTTAGAATCGATTATCATGTTCGTGTCTTTGTTTGAAATTCATGTTTGAAGGAATAAGTTTCGGTTTTCTGATAACCTCTGAACTAGGAAGATTGCATTTTATTTCATTTTTCTTTTAATCTATAGATCAAACAGATGAGTATGT